TCATCAAAATTCAACATCTCAACACTGCCCTGCGTCGACTCCTCAGAACAATCCTTAAGCACTTGGCTTCACTCCAAACAATTCACTACACGCACCATCTAAGCTTGTAAGACACGTCTATCCCATCCGACACAATCCCAGCTACTATCAACAAGAGATTAAGGGTGATCAGTTCCTCAATTTGTCAATAGACAGCCGATAATTATGATGGAGTATAAACCATCTTTACCAGATTATAATAGCGCTTAATCACACACCACGGGAAACACATCAATTTCCACCTTGCTCCCAACCGACAACGATGCAAACAAGTCAAACAACTGAGCTTCGTCCGCTAAAAATTCTTCAACTCTTTAGTGGATAGAAAACTCTCACTTCTATCATCTTCCAAAGAAGGAAACTCTACCAACTTGTGACAACAATCTAAATGAACTCTATTAGATTGCAACCGATTCATACCGAAGATCGCGTCCAAACCGTCCAACGGTAAACACACTAAATCCATAACGAAATCCTTACCACACATGGTCGAAGGACGACTTATGCATATCAAAGAAGTAGTTACCGACCCCGAAGCGGGGGTCTCAATAACCATATTATCATCAGAAGTAAATATACACAAATCCAATCGCTTAGCGCACTCAAAAGGAATGAACGAATGAGTCGCTCCGGTATCAATAATAGCAACTAAAAGCATATTATTAATAAAGCATGTACCTTTAATCAAACGGTCCGCATTAGTAGCGTCGGAGCCTACTAATGCAAATACCTTCCCACTCGTTGGAGCTTGCTTAGGTTTAGGACACTTAGCACTGATGTGTCCTACTTCTCCATAATTGTAGCACTTCACTACACCCATTCTACAATCCGTAGCATCATGCCCAAGAACTCCACAGCTAGAGCACTTAACTTTGGGCTTCCTACACATAAAAGACTTGTGACCCATCTCGCCACACTTGTAGCACTTAATGGGACCCGAACATCCACCTCCGGACTTCTTAATAAAGTGTTCCATATGCTTGCCTTTATCAGCAAGTGTCACATAAGGCCCACTCCTTACCAGTTGCTTTCCTCTCTTCTCATTCAAACTTTTGTAATGAGCGGAACGAACCTTGCTATCTTCCTCGAAGATTCTACAACACTCCGTCAAATCCGAAAACCTTCTTATCCTCTGATATCCCATCGCTTGCCTAATCTCAGGACGCAAGCCATTCTCATACTTAATACACTTTGTGAACTCAGCCGTAGCCGCATCATAGTGAGGATGAAATTGAACTAATTCCACAAACTTAGCAGTATAGTCCACCACAGACATACTACCTTGTTTCAGCTCAAGGAACTCCGTCTCCTTCTTCCTGAACTCATCAGTCGCATTCATAATCGGCACATCTCACACCGTCCTAACCATTTCTTCCAAAGCATCCGCCACCGCATCGCCGTTACGACCATCCATTCTAACCATTACCAAAAATATCAATAAGGTTAAACAACTGTTCAACCAACACAACGACAAGACAGACACAACTGACTCAACACTGGCTCTGATACCACTTAATGTAACACCCCCTTCCTATACCCCCAAATAATTGAATAAATCATTTAGGAACTCAATATAAATTTCATCAGAGTTTATTTTAAACATGGTATAAAAGAGGTGCATCACATTATCATGAAATTAAACGCATACAACACCTTCTCAAGTAGATATGCAACAATGGGAAAATCATAACAAAGAAATCTTAGTCCTAAAACCCACATCTCAACATTTAGAATAAAAGCGGAAACATCTAAACATTGAATCAATTCATTCATATAAACATATATACATCATTCAGTTAATTCATGTTTACAAATCATCCATAAGCAGATACATACACAGATGTATCACAAAAGAATTAAAACACTTGTATCTCCAAAAAGAGTCAAAGGCTTCCTAACTACCCAGATGTTACATATCAGAGCTAACGACCACAAAAACAATGAAGACTCGCTTCACAAAAAGGAACTCCAGCAACCTACTCTGCAATACCTCATAGAGCATTTATAAAACAGCAGAAGGGTGAGAAACAATATCATAACAGTCAATGCATAAAATTATATATATACAAATTACACATACTTCACATTCTCACCACGATTCATTATATAAACCTCAATGCACATTTCATAACTGGGTATATTCACCAATCATACTTCTACACATACACATTATTTCCACATAACATTTACAATATAACACCAAGCATATAAAATATGCGTCAACCATGTTTATATTAATTCATAAACTCACAAAACATACATATACATACATTCACACACACACACACACACACACACACACACACACACACATATATATATATATATATATATATATATATATATATATATATATATATATATATATATATATATATATATATATATATATATATATATATATATATATATATATATATATATATATATATATATATATATATATATATATATATATATATATATATATATAGATCTTCAAGCATACCAATCATTCCAATCATCCATAATTCACATAAACATTTACACTTATGTTGATTCACCATACATCATGCAAGATGTCAACATGCAACTCATAGAGACCGACTCACGACTCTATGCAGATGCAAATGCGGTACCGACTCATTTCAACAGGTTCAATTGAAGAACCAAATGGAATCATCGCTCGTTACCGAAATAACTCCCCGTCGGGCCTACGATGTTCACCCATCGCTCACACCCCACATGGGCACACGATGTTTCAGGATTGCTCACACCCCACACGGGCACACAATCCGATTGCTCACACCCCACACGGGCACACAATCGTTCTGTAGATTCACTACGGAATCAAGAAATAACCATCGCTCACACCCCACATGGGCACACGATGTTTCACATGCGACATGACTCATGACACTCATGAAATGCACACATGTTTACAAACACACTCATGCATTCTTCACATTTATCGCATATATTCATTTATGCATTCAAAATATATGTATCACAAAACATATATATTCATCATTCATTCACACCATTCAAACATGACTCACATTCACAATCAATTCCTCATGCATTTCTATTCAAACTAAGCAAATGCACAAAATTGCCAACCGGCCACACTTATGCTTCACAACCATAAACTAGGATTCACGCCATACGGCTACCTACAACACATCACAAATCAGCACACAAGCTATTAAACCAAAGAAGGGTCGATCGCCACCAAAACCCCAAGCCACAACAGCACACAGCAGAAGGGAAAACCCATCCTGCTACGTTCGCTACACGCTCGCCTAGCGAGCTGCTAGCGAGCGTTCGCCACTTGCTCGCCTAGCGAACTGCTAGCGAGCACAAACAGAAGCTCCAGACTTCGTTCGCTACCTCGTTCGCCACAGCGAACCTCCAGCGAGCCCCTCGCTACTCCCTTCGCTGCAAGCGAAGGACATCAAAACCATTCTGTCCCAAGTCTGGGACTGTTCGCTGCGCACCCTCCTAGCGAACTGCCAGCGAACACTCGCGACCTGCTCGCCTAGCGAGGTGCTAGCGATCGTCTGCGATTTCCACTTCTCCCCACTGTTCAGAATCCAAAACCACCGATAAAATCACCCGATGAACTCCAACTCATATCCAGTAGCCTTAGTCTAACATATATCGACTAATCTACGTCATCTAATCACGATTCTAACTGTTAGACAACAATTTCTATCGATTAAACCAATTTCGACCTAAAATGGAAAGTGTAGAAAACTACCAATCAATCCAAAACAATCCAACAAAAATCATACATGATTATACACATTGATATAATAATAAGGTTTCACACCCTTACCCGATTGATTGAAGCTTGGAAGTTGTTTCTTGATGAATTTCTAGGTTTTTCTCCATTTCTCCTCTTTCTCTTCTCTTTTCTTCTTTCCTTCCTTTTTATTTCTATCTCATTTCTTTTCTCTCTAATTCTCACTTATACCTCTTTCTATTCTATTCTATTTCTCCTCAAAATACCTCTTAAAATATTTTCTCACAAAATACCCCACTTAATATAAAATACTAGATGTCTAAAATACCCTTTAATCTATTTTCCCCGAAAACTCTCCGAATCGGTAAAATAGCACAAAAAGCAATTAAACGTATCGACACATAAATTCCATAATTAAAATAACATTCATCCAAATAAATCAAAAAGGACTCAAACAAATTGGGAAATTCAGAATCGGAGCGTTACAACTATAACGTGCTATACCTCCCTCGTCCTTTACCAATATCGATGTCACAAGGGAAATTAATGAATTTGGAACCTGCCAGCCACGCGCAGTCCTATTGTCCTTTGATGGAGATTCAAGCGGAGTGTTATCTTTAGAGTCTGCACTCTCAGTGTATGGTTGATCTTCCGAGATAGACAAAGTGAAACAACTGTTGCAACATGTTCTTCATCACCTACACCGTTATCTCTTCCAATACCAAGTGAAGATAGGGTTTGGAGAAGATAATTTAGAATCTTTGAAAGAACTGTAGGCCCTCTGCAACGACTCAACTCCTCACTGTTCCTTGAATATTGAATAGCCGTGGATACAAATTCGGAATATTGGAGCAGCAAGAGATGAAGTTGCTACTGACACAGAAAAATTCCCTTGATGCTGGATGCTGAATGTTGAACCACAGCCACAAGCTCCCCTCAAAATTCTCCTTTAAGGGCTATGCAATTTATGTAGCTGGTCAACCACATCAAAGGAACTGCTCAACCGTTGGATATCAGATCAGTGAAGTACACTTCCTTGGACATGCCTGGAGCAATTTGGTTGAGGGTCTGCAAGTTGGTTTTTCTTGGATGAATAACAGTGGTGAACACGGACTCTGCGATTTCTTGTCTGGATAGTGTAATTCCCATGCACCTTAACAATTAAAATTGCTTCCTTGTCTCTTGAATCTTCACACCAAGAGTTTTGTACAACACCATCACCAAACTCTTCCTGAGTCTAAAATTCCTCGTGATGCACTGATACCTCCACAATCTGATCTGGTCTTATAATACCTGTTGCAGGACTTACCTCAAGCCACCTAGGCAAGCCAAAGGAACCTCTCAACTGATGGTTTGCTGCCTTCCGATCCTCCATAATAGTAGACTGCCCTTCACAAATTATTTCAAACAAAGCACTGTCTTATTTACATTTATTAGTGATGCGCAAAATTAATGTGTCCTGGTTTTGAAGAATTACGTTGTTTGTACTTATGATAGTTTCAGGAATCTTGTACAATTCTTTCAGAAGACATTTTATTTTCTCATTTGACTCGAGAATCTCTCCAAACTCCTGTCTCCGTATTGGTTCATCTACTCGAGCAATATCTGTAGAAATTATGCAGCGCACAGGCTTGTGGTCACTATCTGTGACATCCATGCATGCTTCATACTGCAATACTGCGGAGACAACAGGGTACTCAAAACTGCATTCAGCAACCAAAGAAGAGCGACTATCACGATACAAAATTCTGTCACACCAGGCAGGGATGCGTTTCTTTTCACCAGAATCATACTCTGCCAAACCAGCTTGGTACCGTTCAAACTTGCATGTGGGAGGAAATGTTATTATTGCTTCACGCATTCCTTGGAATGCATTCCCAGCTTCCATTTCTGCTCGAAGCAGATCCCTTTCTCTAAGCCAATCAAAGCAACTTTGAGACACAAAGTCTCTTGCTTCATCATAGGAAATGTCATCAAGATGATAATTTAAATCACCAAGTAATACAATCATGTCTGCCTCAGATAACTCGGGCACCCCTTCTGCAGAATTTGTACCACGAAACATTTGAACAGAAGACGAGTTTCTAGCGGGTGTTGCATTCAGGAGGTTTGTTGGCCGGCTGAAAGACATTGCTCGGTATACATGATCAAAATCTGCATTGCGACGACCAACTGCATCTAAATGTGCAGCAAAATGGCAATTCACAAAGCACATAATCCGATCATACACTCTTACCCTCAAACCAACAACGCCCTTATTTCCAATAGCACGTCCAAAGCCACATGGAACTGCTGCTGCATCAACATCCCCAACGTGAAATCTAATGACGTATACTGAGCTATTTCCGATACAGCAATGACCAAGCCTGCAAGTTGCCTGGAACCAATACGTTCAAATGTTGAGCCTTCATCCAATGTTTTGTCTATCATATCCAGCCACCACTGCCCAGCAGAACTACCTTCCAGTCCCACAGTTTCTTTAGCTGCAGACATGGCAAGAAATCCAGCACCCATTTCAACCTCTTGCAACCCAACAACAACAAGACCAACATCTGAGGCCACAGAACCAAGCCATGAAATAAGGGAATCTTGAGATGCTTTACCTTGTCCAACATTCCAAGTGCCACTCAATATTTTTATGGTTTCTATTTTAGTATATAAAAATTCTTTGCCACCCAATTCTGAATGCAAAATGCTATCAAGAGGTCCTGGAGAGGTGATGTTCCATCCTCGTATGCCACTGTGGTTAGCCAATGAAAATACATAGCCAACTCCAACTGTCATTTTTACAATTGGACAACTATGAAACACCCAACCCCCGACCAGATTACCCTTGAGGTCCAATACATGGATGATACCAGATGCATAACCTACCCAGATTTGCATGCCATAAGTACAAAAACATTGAACAACAAATGAGTGGTAAAGAAAATCCTGTATGCGGTTGCCATTTCCATCCCATTGCACCAACAAACCGCTTGAATACCCTGTCCAAATCATTCCATCAATTGTTACTACAAGTGCTTCAGTTCCCCGATTATCATCCCCAAAGCTTCTCTTTGTTGCAACTCGACGAACAACATCTGCTGCCCCCATTATAGCATTACGTGAGCGCTGAAAGAACCCAATGGAAGTTTGTGTTTTGTCTTTCTTAAAACTTGAAACAAGCTCGACTGGAAAGTCTTGTATTGAGGACACTTCTGATCGATTCTCCACCTGGCCGTCTGAATTGAAAACTTTCAGCAACTCTCTTGTACGGGCATCCCATAAAGCATATGAAAAATAGCCCGCACTCCACACCTTTGCCATGAATCTCCCTACAAAACCTTAAACACACAGTGAAGAAGAAACAAACAAATTGAAAAATATTTTTGGTCTTTTGGTTAGAGGTTAGTAAATAGAAACAAACATAAAGCAAGTAATAAACAACAGGGGTGTTAGAACCATAAAGTATGATATTGTTTGCGTATGTAATGATGTAAATGAAAAGGGGGATCTTAGGGGTAAAAATTAGGGTATTACAGCTGCCCCTATTTAAGATTCTTCTATCTGGAGATATGAAGATTGACATCTTTGTCTCGACCAGATAGAAGAGACTTAAATATAACAATAAACCCAATTTTTTGGCCCTAAGAGACCACAAAATGATATGGTTATGCTAATGATATGGTATGCAAACACAAGACCACCATGGGAAGAAAATGCCACAGGGGAAAAAAAAACACCGGAGCAGAAGAAGGAAAGAGACTCCACAAGGGAAAATAAAAAAAAACAAGATCCTATTCCGATAAAGGAAATGAAAAGACTCAACAGGGAAAGAGATACCAACTGCCAGTTACTGGGCGAAGATATTCGAACCGGAGAGAATAGGTAAAATACTTTCTACTGGTTACTGAGTAGAAAATAAGTACAAAAATCACAAGAGAATTGTTATCTACCAGTTACTGGGTAGAAAACAAAGAGATGTATTACTTACTACCAATTACTTGGTAAAAAAGTAATCCACTCGTTGAGATGTAATCAACTACCTGCTACTGGGTAGGAAAAGAAGCAACGCCAACTACTGGTTACTGAGTAGTTTAGCGAGAATAATAAACTTGAATGAAAGGGGTTACCAACTATCGGTTACTGGATAAGGTAAATAACATGTCAACTACCTATTACTAGGTAGGAAAGACTCGACTACCTGTCATTGGGTAGGACAAACATACTCGACTACCTGTCACTGGGTAGGAGAAAGAGGTATATTATCAGCTACTTGTTACTGAGCAGCTCCAATCACACAACAAACTTCTCAAATAAAGAGACAACCATTTGTTGGAAAAAAGATATTAATAACTCTGTCGGGGATCTTTAAAAGAGATACGAGCAGGTTAGACCAGGCAATAGACTTCTCGTCAGGAATTATTCCACAAAAAATTCCATCTGATAGAAAAGCTGGTCGGATAAGGATCCATCATTTCACAATAAACTTCTCTGTTGAGGACAAACTAGAGAAATGTTATTTATTGCAAAGGTAAATTTCTGGAGATTACACAAGCTGCTCAAATAAAGAGGCTTCCACATAAAGTTGCATAAGTAATTACCAAGAGAGTGTTATCAAAACACTACTGGGGAAATCAAATCCTCATCTTCTGATGGGGATCAATAACAGATTCCTGCTGAGAAAAATAAATCCTCAAAAATACCTTCTCATCATCCAGGTTTCACATCCCAGGGAAAACCAAAGTAACTGTTGCAGGAGACCAAAAATTCGATCCAGGAACAAACTGGAAAGAAACGGTTAAACAAGACTCGACCCAATGAGGAAATAACTCAACTGGGGAACAATTCCATCCAGATAAAAGCTGGGGAGGAAAGCTAAACAAACATCTTCCACGAGGCATAAACTCAGTGGGGAATTAAAAATGATAGGTATTTTCTGCTTAGGGGTCGACACTCTAATGAAGGGAGGACGCACTCCGTGGGATAACAACATCGGGGAAAGGGAAACACCAAAAAAACAGGATGCACAATGCAACAAAAACATGCTATGCTCAACCAAAATGAATGCGCATGCAATGCATATGAATATGAATATGCTGACAAATCAGACAAAAAGGGCAAACAGAGGGTGAACAAAACACCACAACACCACTGAAATACTTGGCTAATCTTTGGAAGTTAGAGATATCATTGGAGATCGTGCTGGGGATCAGCAACAGAAAACCTGCAAGAGATACACAAGAGCCATCAAAGGAAAATAAATCCTACTACAAGGCTTAAATCTCGCTGAAGAGACAAAGATACCGCTTGGGAAAAGACCCCAAAGATCAACCTTCAACCATCAATAATTCAACAAGAGGGAACAACAATATGAACTCCGCTTTGAGAAAAAAAACTTTTGGAGAAAACATAACAACACAAATCTTCCAACCCTGTCAGGGGAATAAGAAGTTAACATCATAGCAAAAAGTCAAACTGTGGGGGATTTTAAATCAACACACAATCACAAGGTGAGAGAAAACCCGACAGGCGACTGCTATGTCAACACTTCTTAGAAGTAAACAACATTGTTCTCTACTTGGGGAATAATCCAAAGCAAATATGCATAACCTCTGTTAGGAATTATCAAAGACAAATCTTCGCCTGGGCAAAAACATCAAGGAAAAATGGTCTTCAAATTTCTCAACTGTTCGATCATAACCTGGTTGAATGAATAAAACATATTCATCATTTGAATCAAGACTTTATTGTGGAAAACCGTTCAACACTCGTCTGGTTTATCCAAAGAAACAAAACTTTGCTAAGGGAATATCAGTAAACTCTACTGAAGAGACCTCAATATAGCTCAAATGGGGAAACATCAACACAACTCTACTGGGGAGCTGTCAATAAATTCTACTAGAGAGGCAAGAAAGAACCCTGCTGAGGAAAACCACTTAAGCTTTTCACTTCAAGATTCTACCATTCTTGGGATTACTATTGACATCCTTTCTTCTATTTTCACAAATCAAAGAAAAATGTTTTTATAATTTTCAAAATTTAAATCAATTATTCACATTTGTTTCAAAAATCATCATCAAAAATAAAATGAAATTCTGTAAACATAAACAAAATAAGAATTGCAAACAAAGGGACAAAGGCCTAAATTCTATTGATAGAATGGTAGTCCGCAAATGGCGTAACTCCATGGATCATTACAAAGTTTGAAAAATGGTAAGTACAATGGAAAGTTCTACATTGAAATACAATGACCATTATTCTCCCTAACAACTTTGAATTCCAACTGTGCTTGAGACTTCAGCGGAGAATATTTGAAGTAAAACCTTTGATAGGAAATGTTGCTTCAAATGATCAAGACTGGCCAGATGCAGTTACTTGCCATGATCCCTAACTTTTGCCTAGATTGCCCTCTCGGGTTTTCAATCTACCGGGATAATTATTTCTGTTTTGTCTCTAATTTTTGCCTGGACTGCCCTTTCAGGTTTTCAATCCACCGAGACGCTCATTTTTGCCTAAGCCGCCCTTTCAGGTTTTCAACTTAGCGAGTCATTCTTTTATTTTTTAGGCGAAGTATTTCTTGACTGCATCGGCATTCACAGGACGAGTGAACTCTTCTCCATCCATAGTTGTAAGAATTAATGCACCGCCAGAGAAGGCTCTCTTAACAACATATGGGCCTTCATAATTAGGAGTCCACTTGCCCCTAGAATCAGTAGTAAAAGTCGAGATCTTTTTGAGCACGAGGTCACCTTCTCTGAACACACGGGGTCAAACCTTCTTATCAAATGCTTTCTTCATTCTTTGTTGATATAATTGGCCATGACACAAGGCCGTCATTCTTTTCTCTTCAATCATATTCAACTGGTCGTATCTACTTTGACACCATTCAGCCTCAGACAATTCAGTTTCCATCAAAACTCTCATAGAAGGAATTTCAACTTCTAACGGGAGCACTGCTTCCATGCCATAAACAAGAGAAAAAGGGGTTGCCCCTGTTGAAGTGCGAACGGATGTACGATACCCATGCAGAGCGAAAGGAAGCATATCATGCCAATCCTTGTATGTAACAACCATCTTTTG